CTTTACAAGAGACCCATCTTTGGGTCCATGTGAGGGTCTAACTTGCAACTGCTGTGCGAAGCTGGAAAGGGACCCCAGGGATTTTCTGAGTTTCCTGTTCAGGAGGGATTTAAGAAGAATGTTTCTTTTTATGGTAATCATATCAAACGAGGAGACCTTAGCAATAGATATCATAGGAAGACTGAAGACAGTAAAGCTCTGTGAGGGATTGGAAAACCACTAACTGCAGCAACTGGTTCATGAGTGACAGTTATAGACAAGGCCAATGCATGGAGAGTGGGGCAAGGTGGGCTCAATACAGGGCGCCATTGGCACCAATCTTGTGAGAGAGCTGATGGGACAGACAGGGATGCTGTGATTCTGGGAGATTAGCCCATTCTCACCAGGACTCTGGCCAATGGCTGGCAATTAAGAAGCAGGGCAAAAAATGATGGTTTTTAAAAGATGTAGATATTGGGAAAAGGTTTCATTACAAAAATACCTAGAACATGTATGTGTACCAGGCATAATGCCAGCTCATATATTTATTGAGAATCTTTTATTCACTTGACACTGTGCTGAAAGATGAAGACACAATGGTAAGCAAAAGTAGATATAGTTGTATGGAGATAGATCAGTATTCAAAATGTGTATGATATATCCCTAATGCAGCCATTGCAAGGCACCATGCCATTTAATTCCTGTTAAAATATGATGAAACAAATTTTCTCTGTTTCAGAACAAGATAAATGAAGTATCACTGAGTGAATTTTAATGACACAACGTCCAATGTACTAAGGGGCATATTTGGTCAGTAGCTATGCAAATCTGTGGGGTTCTGATGTAGGAACTCCAATGTTGTTGCATTTTACTATGGTGGCCTTTTAGAAAATAGCTTCAGTGTATTGATTAGACTACATGTAACCAATATTATTAATTTACATTTTTATCTAAAGTTTTCACATGGATATTAAGAATGGCTTCCAAATACTCAGCTGGAATTAGTTGATTCATCAGGGATTTTTTTGCTGATAGTCTTTAATATACATTTTGAGGTATGATATATAGACATAGATATACTGTAATACAATATTTATCAATTCAAGATTTTTCATGTGTAGTAACATTAATTACATTAATCATGTTACATAACCTTCACTAATTTCTGTTGCAAAATTTCCCATGACAATAAACAGAATGACACAGACTATCTTAATTGAATATATAGGGTTATAATCACTTTTTTCATTTGTTTTTCTTGCTGACACACTATAGTTCGTTTAAAAATTTTTTATACTCCAAGAAATATCAGTGTCAAAGGAGAGCAATTTTTTATGCATAGTCCACTTCTATAGTTTGTGAAAGTATATTAGTAATTCATCTGAATTTTTCTTAGTGTAAATAAAGTTCCATGAAATTTGAAAGAAGAGTGATAACTTTGTATTCAAATCTATTTAACACTTACTACTGTATGATGTGAATAAAGTAACACTAATTTAGTACCTCTGATGTACCATAAGGAGGCACAGTGATTGAAGAGCTAGGTTGTACCAAAATTTTGGTGGTTCAAGCCCACCACCAGTTCTGTGGGAGAAAGTTGTGGCATCTTCCATGAAGATGTATAGCCTAGGAAGTCTTATGGGGCAGTTATATACTTTCCTATCTGGTTTCTATAAGTCGGAATCAACTTAATCTCAGTGGGTTTGGTTGGGTATGGTTAGTTGTTACCAGCTTGTTCCATCAGTTTAACCAGAACCTTTAATATCTGGGCTTGGTGTTTCCTTGTCCTAAAGTAGAGATGATGTATTGCCTCACTTTAGGATTGCATTGTGGTAAAGGCCAAATGTAACAACATGAGAGCTGTTTTTAAAAATCTAAGTTGCAATTGTATTCTTCATTGTTCTCCTTTGTGTCCTTAAGGTAAGATGTTAATATTTATTTTGGTATTCTATATATTCTCTAGCCCATGGTGGTATAGTTACGAGTTGGGTTACGGTCAGGCACCAACAGCTCCTCGGGAGAAAGACTAGTCTCTCTACTCCCATAACCAGCTTCCGTCTCAGGAACTCACAGGGGGTTGCTATGAGTCAGCATTGACTCATGGCAGTGAGTTTTCATATATTCTCTACAACCGAGGAGAGCACAGCTCAGAGAGGGATGAAAGCACGTAAAGGGATTGTTAATGAAATGTTACAGATGGCAGAGAGAAAGATACAAAAGGATTGGGCTGGGAGGAGGGAACAATGAAGGTGGATTACTGAGTTTCTGTGAAGTGGAGTGTATTAGCGGCATGGTGACTTATTATCTTAAGGATATTTGTTGATAATTCCATGCCACCCCACCCCACTGCTAAAAATGGATGAGTCTACACTCTTCTCAATCCTTGTGACAATTCTCAGCTAGTCTTGAGCAGGGTTTCCAGGAATGGCGAGCTCATGAGCTCCCAGAGATCAAAGATGAGATTTCATCTTCACTATTCACGAATCCCAATCTACTGAAACATGCTACCTAACAGACCAAGCAGAAGAGAACAACATAGTGCACAAATGCTACATTTTTACCAGCAGCTTTCATATGGCTACATTTGACCCTTCCCATAATACATTATCTCTACTTTAGGACAAGGAAATACCAGGTCCAAGACATGAATGGGTCTGCTTAAACTTATGGAACAAGCAGGCAACAGGGATAGGGTTCAAGTGAACGTTTTCCCTGGTCAGTGATCTCCCTAGAAAATAAATACAGCATGACTGAATAACAAAGTAGATACTACAATTCCTGATTTAGGAGTATTTAGGGCATACTTCCACTAGTCCGTGCTGCTGTGATGCTGAAAGCTATATCACTGGTGTTTCAAATGCCAGCAGGGGCACCAAATGTGAACAGTGGTGGCAACAATCATTTACACATAGGAACGATTGTGAGGACGGTGCAGGACTGGACATTGTTTCAGTCTGTGGTGCACAGGGTTGCTATGGATTGGAAGTGACTTGATGGCACTTAACAGCAAGTGAATACTACAAAATAATATAGAAATCTATGTCCTTCATAAACCAGACCAAACCAATTACTGTAGAATCAATTCCAAAATATGAGGACCCCATGTGTTTTAGAGTAGAGTTTTCAAAAGTTGTAATCCTTCAGAAGTAGGATTGTAAGTCTTTCTTCCCAGATGCCTCTGGGTGGATTAGAACCTTCGAGCTCTCAGTTAGTAGCTGAGTGCTTCATTGTTTGCACCACACAGGCCTATCTCCTTCACAAGAAGCATTACCTTTTTTTCTGCTGGTTGTACAAGTAAAAGGTTATGGGGAGTGTCTTAGTTATACAATGCCGCCATATTAGAAATACCACAAGTGAATGGCTTTAAGAAATAAAATTTTATTTTCTCACATCTTAGTGAGCTAGAAGTCCAAATTTAGAGTTTGGGCTCCAGGGGAACACTTTTTCTCTTTTTCGACTCTGGAGGAAGACCTTTGTTTCTATATCTTCTGTTCCTGGTGGATCTACATGTGGCATCTCTCTCCCCTCATCTCTGTCTCTTTCTCTTGTCTATCTAATCTCTTTTATTCCCAAGTAGATAAACTCAAAACACCCCCTACAAATCCTCCCTGATTAACAAAACAAGGGCAACCCATCCCAAAATATGCTTATGAGAGGTTAGGATTCACAGCACATATTTTGGGGTTACACATTTAAACCCATAACATTTTATTGTTAGGTCCTCCAAAATTCATGTCCTTGCCACATGTACAACACACTCATTGCATCTTAACTTTCCAAAGTCTTACATCAAATAAGCTTCAAGCCCACAATTTCACCTTCTGAATCACCTGAATCAAATATAGGTGAGTTTCTAGGACTATTTCATACTGGGGTGAAATTCCTCTTTATCTGTGACCTTCTGAATTGTAGAATCAAGTTTTCTGCTTCCAAAGTACAATGGTAAGCATGTTGTAGACATTTCCATTACAAATGGGAGAACTTAGAGGAAAAGAAGGAATGGGCACCCACCAAGTCAAAAACCTAGCAGAACAATCGACATTAGCTTGAAAGTAGTCCTTTGTTCTTTGAGACCGTCTAGGTAATGTCCCTACTCTCCAGACTCTGGGTGTTGGCTACCCCTTCTGGATGCTTGGTGGAGGCACCTCAGTTCTGGGGTTCAGCTCCTATGCCCAGATCTACTGGGATAGCAACTCTGCTCCCTTGACTTTGATAGTCCCATTCTCCTAGTTGATCTGACTAGAAGATAACTTGGCCACACCTTTTGGCCCTAGTAGGCCCCATTCTCCTGTCCCTTGAGCATGGACTTCTTGTTCCCACAGCGTTGTACCCTCAGGGACCCATTACCTTGCTACACTTTAATGGAAGTCCTACATTTCAGAACCAAAATGCCAAAGACCCAACTTTTTGAAATGGAGGAAGCTGTGGCCCACCCTTTGAAATCAGGAAGCCCTTGCTCACAATGCTCCTTCCAACTGGTCTGCCGATCTTCAACTGCTCCAGAAGTGGTCTCATTCTTTTCTCGGAAGACCACAGATGTAGCTTCTTGGGCCTGTTTTCCTCCCTATAGAACTCCAAGATGCAGTCAGCGTCTAAATTTCAGGCTTTCTCTGTAGTTTTCCGTTGAAGCTGATGGATTTCTGCTGTGATAGTTGCTTAGATTCATCAGTCTTAGACTTACCCTATTTAAGAAAAGATGGCACACCCTTGGTGAAAATTCTAGGACCTATGTCCTTGCCTTTCATCGTTTTCCACACATGGTTGCATCCTTCTAAAGGGAGTCCATCAGCTTTCTCTTTGCAATAGCATAAATGCATAACCCTTCCTACAGGTGATTAGCAAACCGGGATCTTAAACACGATCTAACTTACCAAACAGACATTTTTCCCCCTCTAAGTTTACCAGTAAGGTTACAGGCTCCATTAAGCCATATTGCCCTTCAGGCTTTTTACACTGTAGGATTTTACAATCTTGCAATAGTCTGTCTTGGTTAACTTCTCTTATTCCCTCTACGCTTGATTTAGGGGAAGTTAGTGGGCGGGCCTTAGGCCCTTGTGGATGTCCTAATAAAGTGACACCCTATCCAGAGTTAAAAAAACCCTTTCTCTTCAATTTCTAATTCAATTTGGGGCACTGTTGTTTCTGCAGAGCAACATTCCAAAAGGCCCTCTGATTTAGTGTGGTCAGATTTCTCAAGTCCTCTTTCCTGATAGATATAAATTTTAACTCTAGAAACTCAAGGAAGCAAAAATTGGTTTAAGTGATCTTCCTTCTTTATAAACCATGGTATATCAGATTTTATCACTGCCCTAATTTCTTCTTCACAATCCCGACCAAGAACTCCAGTAACAATCTGAACACCTTGAGAAATTTAGGTTGGACCTTCCTAATAAGCATTCTATAGTTCTTTTAGGTAGAAGACCCCTGGGTTTGGAGCAAGTTCTGTTCCCTATTTCCCAGCTGGAAAGCATTTGCTAATAGAAATCTCTTACTGCTGAATCTTGAGCGACATTGGTTCACCCAACGAATTCCCTTCCTTCAGTAGGGCAAAGTCTGGATTCTTTTAAACATGATCTAGGTGGTCCTGGCCAATGCTCTGGTGCAGGCCAAAGCTTGCTTTTCATGGCCAGGCTGATTGGCCTATGCTTCCTGAACTCTCTTTGAAAATGACCTATCTTTCTGTATCTAAAGCATTTCTCTGTATGCCTGATGTAGTTGGCCAAAACAGTGGCTAGTAGGTCTGCCTTGTATTCATCTGTCTCCACATTCCAGCATATTCTAAAATAATCTAAAAGGGTGCCTTGTTTCCAATAGGGACATAGGCATTTTTACAGTCCTCATGAGCAAACTCATAAGATAGTTTGTAAACTAGATCTTCCACTGCCTGCACATTTCTGACACTTTTGCATAAAGCATCCTCTAATCGGGACACAAAGTCTACACAGGATAATCATCCTGCTGCTTTATAGCAGTGTAACTGGGCCATCTCTCTCCTGATGGTATAATTTTTTCTCAGGCCCTTAGGCAAACTTCATGTACCTGATGTGAATACCAGTTCAGTAAACTATAATTGTGACTCAACTGTGATATAGCTCTCATCCCCTAGCAACTAATGGATTCCTATATCTGTTCAATCCTCAAAATTTCTATGAGCTTGTGAAAACCCTTATCCATTCCACCAGATCCTATGTTGCAAAAATTCTGAAGGAGAAAGGAATGTTCCTGTCAGCAGGGATCCAGCATTCAGACTCTGCCAAAGATCTTATCATGCTAATTACAAAAGGAGAGTGTGGGCTATAGTCAGTGACCTCCTGCTTGAGATCGTTTAGTAACTCAAAGGGGAATGCGCTGTGAACTCCTTCTGGGTGGTGCAAGTCAGGCTGTCTGCTAATAACGCTAACAGGAAAAGCCATCATAATTTCTAAATCTCCTTCTTCTGAAATCCCTCTTTCTACCTTTGAAAGTAAAGGTTCTTGTCTACACGCTGCCTCTTTGCTTCTATATTCTGTACTGGTTTTCTCGATTGGTATCTTTAAACTTGATTTCCCAAACTTCCTCTTCCCTGTTAGCTGTCTTAGGTTGCAGTTCCTGGGAGCTGATCTCCTCCTCTTTACCTCCTGCACTGGCTTGCTTTATTGTTTTACCATCCCTAGACTTCTCTAGACCAGCAGGGGAGCAGATGCTTTTACTATCATGTCCCCTTCTGATTCAGGCTGATTTTTCTCAGTCTGTCAAAATCTTTTCATCTGCCTGATACTCAATTTGGATCACTTTTGCTGCTTCTATACTGTTGGATAGTTTATCTCAGGCATTTCCTTACAATGCTGTTCCTCATTCCTCCCCTGCTCTGTCTGTGGAGGTTCTAAAGCTATCTTAACTTGAGCCACAGAGACTAGGTCTGCAGGGGGATACTCTGCCCCTCTCTGTGTGCTCTTTAAATTTGTACCTACATGCTCCCAAGTTCCTACATCTAATGTTCCTTCCTCTGGGAACCAAGGATTATACTTTTTTACTACTTATAGAAAATCTTGTATCTTTTTATTTGTTACTATTAACTTCTGTTTTCTCATTAAATGTGCCAGAGTAAGAACATAAGTCTTAGGTTTGATTCCGTCTTGCCCCATTGTCCTCTTTAAAATATTTTACTACTATTCTTATTCCTACTTACCTGCTAATCCCCCAAGAGGATCCTCACTTCACACAAGTTCCCCGGTTCACTCTACTGTCTGGTGGGGCCATACAATTGTACATGGGGTATAACTCAAAAGAATTCTTTTCTTACAGCCACATGATGGTTGCCATTTCTTAGAGTAAACCAGCCTCTAACAACCTCAGGGTCCATAGGTGCAATTGTATAGCAATCATATATAAGGATTATAATAAAATCAAAGAGAATAGCAGAGATATGTAGGAGAGAAGATAAAATAAAGGAGTCAGACACATTTCATGCTAGCATGCTCACCTCAGCCCCTCTTGGTGGCCACCGTGGAGGTGGGAGAAGAGAGAGGGAGTTTTTACTGTCTTGAGGCATTTACAGGTAGCCATAAATCACACATGTTCAGGAGTTACATATGTCACAGGTGGGTGGTAATCACAGGTGAGGAAATCCAATACCTGCATTGGGGGAAGGCATATGGGGGCATTGGGTGCTGCTGCAGGAGGAGATAATCAGGGAATGTCTGCTTCTATAGTGGGACAGGATCAACCAGGTGCTCACTTTAAGGCAGCATAGCTATTAGGGGAGAATCTGTGGGAATGATATTTAAAATAGGATAATGTGCTTGGACTTTATCACTAACTTACCAAAGTGGTGGCTTTCCTACCATGGAAAACTAGCTTTCCAGATTCCCTCTGTTATAAGTTAGGGAATATAATCCCTATATTCCCACATTGTCAGTTTCCCACAATCTCCTTAGCCAGATATCCTATTTCATCATTTACAATTTCTGACTTCTCCCACAGATCTGAACACAATTCAGACAAGGTTTTTGCTACTGTATTAAAAAAAAAAATCACAGTCCCTCTATTGTGTATTTACATGTTCATGCTTTTCTCTTAAAGCCTCATCAGAAGCACATCTAACATCACCAGGATCCACAGGAAGGCTCAACACGAGTTTTGGAGAAGGCTTCATTTTGGTGGGCTTCTCCGATTGGCCTCAACTGGAATGTGTTCTTTTGGTCTTTATTTCCATCTTTTACTCCCTAACTCTCTTTGGCAATACTGCTATCATCGCCCTCTCCCACCTGGACCTTCGGTTGCACACACCCATGTACTTTTTCCTGTGTCACCTCTCCTTCCTGGATCTCTGCTACACCACCAGTACTGTGCCCCAGCTTCTGATCCATCTTCATGGACCCGACCGGACTATCACCTATGGAGGGTGTGTGGCCCAGCTCTTTATCTCCCTCGCATTGGGATCCACAGAGTGTGTGCTCCTGGTAGTAATGGCCTTTGACCGCTACACTGCAGTCTGTAGACCGCTTCACTACCTGACCATTATGCACCCCCGTCTTTGCCAGGCACTGGCTGCCATCTCTTGGGTAGGAGGCACCATGAACTCTCTGGTTCAGGCAGGCCTCATGATGGCCATGCCCCTCTGTGGCCTCCATCAGCTGAACCACTTCTTCTGTGAGATGCCTGTGCTTCTGAAGCTGGCTTGTGAGGACACACAAGGGACAGAGGTGAAGATGTTTGTGGCCCGAGTCATCATCTTGGTGGTTCCTGCAGCACTAATTCTAACCTCCTATGTACACATTGCTCGGGCAGTTCTGAAAGTTAATTCAATTGCTGGACGCAGGAAGGCTTTTGGGACTTGTGGATCCCACCTCCTAGTGGTTTCCCTTTTTTATGGCTCAGCCATATACACATACCTCCAACCCACGAGTAGTTATTCTCAGAGTGAAGGAAAGTTTGTTGCCCTGTTTTACACTATAATTACCCCTATGCTCAATCCTCTGATTTATACCCTAAGGAACAAAGATGTGAAAGGGGCTCTGAGGAAGGTTCTGTGGAAAGGAAGAGACTAAGGGTAGTAGGGGGGAAGCAGGATCAATGTAATTGTAATAACTCAGATCATGAAGCGCATCCTGTTCCTGGAAGGGCAGGTAATCCGTAGAACATCGCCCTTGGTGCACCTCAAGGTTTTAGTACATTACCTTCCTTGTTTTGGTCTTGGAAGTGGGAATCCTATGGGACTACTTTTTAGTTCAATGTCTATGATCATTTTGCAAGAGGAAGTTAAGTATTGATTACAACTTTCCAAAGAAGTGAAGTTGGAAATCGAAGACTGCAGTCACCTTGGTGAAGAGGTGGTGTGTAAGCAAGTCTGAGAGTGAGAGAAGACTTAATTCAAACTGATAGCTCCTGTTCTAAAGTCAATGATTCTCAGAATGCCATGTAATATATACCCAAAAGCTAAAGAGAAGAGTTGACTTCCATTCTACAAATTAACTGTGAACCTGACCATGTGCACACATCTCAGGCCGATTTCTAAGGCCTCTAAATGCAACCCTCTTATGATATTTGTACCAAATAAAGAGAATATACGTAAAAGTACTTATATGAAGCAGAATGGGTTATCAAGGATACCGCAACATTATGAGATCATTTTGATACATTTCTTATTTGTTCATGATGAAATAGAATGTTATAGGATTTATCTAATTTATCCAATTTAAAATAGTAAACATGAGGTGAAGTTGATGTCCGGGTTTTCCGTCACCCTAAATCCACCCCCTGTGGCAACACCCTGTTAATTCTCTGTCTCTTTTCTTTCTTTCTTTCTTTTTTTTTTTTGAGGGTGGATTTAATAGGAAAGATTGAGGTTAGAAAGAAAGGTAGTTGGAAAGGGAATCAGATTTTTTTAATCGTTTTATTAGGGGCTCAAATGACTCATCACAATCCATACATACATCAATTGTGTACAGCACATTTGTATATTCAT